TTATTTCACTGATTGTATTCTTAAAAATAAAATATATGTGTACATCAGGTGAAATGCTAAAAACAGTTTATTTTTAATTATATATTTCCATTGCCTTCTAAATGTGAATCCATTAACTAATATATGTTCAAGAATAATAGGTAAAGTTTGAGAAACCTTAATAAATATGCCAGCATTGACCAACTGGTGATATCAAAATGGGGTTTATTGAATCTGGTAAACATTAGGATAGCAGCGGTATCCCAAATATCACTTCTTGTCAGAAGTACAGAGATCATGGATTATAAAACCATAATTAAAGCTTCTTCTCTACCTGGGCTATGGTATTAAAATAGTAATGAGATATCTGGGGAGGAATCTGAATTATCAACCTTAGGAAAACATGTAATTTCTTCAGGAATTTAGGAAAAAGTAAATACATGTTGATGTATGTCTTGATTGGGAAAAAATGATATACTTCACAAAGTTATAAAATGAACACAAGCAACATAGGGTCATGTGCAGGGAAAGTCCGATATGGAAGAGGAGTACAGAGTGAAAATGTAGCCAAAGAGAATTCTACATTCTTTGATTACCCATTTGTATATGCTGAAGTCCTCAGCACTTCTGTAATGTCAAAAGAGAAAATGCACAGCAATGTAAAAATTTACCAAGATTTTGTTGTACTTTGTATCATATTTTTAGTGATGACACAATTACAGACTTAATTAAGCACACAACAATCAGGTTAGAATAAGATTGTTTCATTTTATCTACTGTTGCTCATTGAATTTTAATCAGAAATTTGCATGATGCAACATAATCCATCATATACAACACAGGTGCCAACTATTTATAGAAAACCATAATTCATAAAATGTCTCTGCTGTTGCTCTCTGATACTATGGAAGAGTGATTAAGTTGAAATTAGAGTGCTACTCATCACAAAATAGACTTTGATCCTGCTCATATCCAGCTGCAGTAACTGAAACTCCTGAGAGTTAAACAGGAACGTGTCAGCCACGAACAGAGCTCATCCCTGTCATCTTCCCTATCCTTGTGTGCAGTTTCTTCCCAGCCACTTTTCTGCTTGGCTTTGGTGAAGATCAGCCTCTACACAGGGAAGACGCCATCTCCAGACAGCAGCACCTACACAGAACCTTCTGCTTCTGTTTCCCTCACAGACTCTGGCTGTCATAGTAGGATAGAAAATATTCACCTGTGTGCCTCTGCTACCAGGGTGATGGCCAGTAGGTTACAGGTATATAGGACACTGCACACTGGACCCAGGATGCTAGACACAGCTCTACATCAGGGATGCTGTGACCTCACTTCTCAAGTTAGAAATTACTAGCTCTATTGTAACTACAACAGTGCAAACTTCAGTGTGTGCATCTGAGAACTTTTTCTGAATTCCAAATTCCCAACAACAGAGTGTTTTGTTTGTGCTGAACACCTCCGAAGAGCAGAGGAGTGGTGGGTAGAGGTGCTCAATCTCCATCCTCCCTGGGCTGATGGTGTCTCACATGGAGGTCACAGGGAAAGTGAATTCCTGAGTCTGAGGGAGGAACAGCAAACCCTGAGTGTCCCACTGAACCCTACACTCCTGGTAGAATGTGTTTGGCTCAGAAATCCAGTCTCCCAAAGTGTACCCAGTTGTCAGTGTATGTTAAAATAAAATATCTCTTATTTGAGTAGGACAAAATACAAAGAAAAAGCACAATAAGGATGGGTAGAAGGAGATGAGGAGAAGGATCTCTTGCAAATGGAAAGGGGTCCAGGAGAATGAAAGAGGGGATTAGGGGGAGAAGGAGGGGAATAAGTAGATTAAAGCTATGCCACATATAGGCACGTCCTAATCTCAAAGAATGTAAACATTATATGTCATAAACAATGAGAACTCAAATGGAAAAGGGGATTTAGCAAAGGAAGGCGAAAAGGGGATGGGGATGAAAAAAAGAACCAGAAGTATTAAGAGTAGAACCAAGCTGTGTTACATACATATACCCCCTCTGAAAGATGATCATAAATTGCATGTACAGAGTAGACTACATGGCTGCATTGAGAAATGTGTAGCAGATTAGGAAAGCACGTCTCTGACTTGATCTATGGAAATTATCCTGGGAAGATTCACACAGAGGCCAGCAAATGCAGAAGGAAAGAAAGAAAGGTCCACCCTGACTGTGGTTAGCTCCATTCCAATAGGATTACAATACAGATAGAATGAAAAGGCAAGACACAGAAGGTGACTTGCATAGCAAAGCTCCATTCTGCTCTTTTGATTGTCTCCCTTGCTACAGTGATCTTTGGTTCACATCAGACAATAGTTGTTTGGCCTTTGCTCATGGATTAGCACCAGTCCCTCTCTCTGGAACTCCAGGCCTTCAGTTGTGAATTGGTGCTGCATCCTTGATCACTGCTCTTCTCTGGCTTCCAGTTTCTTGGACTGAGAAGCTCTCCACCCTCAGGTTCTACATTATGGAGACATCCATTTGTGAATTATCCCACCTCTGACCCTGTTAACCTAATAAATACTTTCTCATAATTATATAATATAATATGCCAGAATAGCATTATATAGTATAATGTGCATAGTATGACATTGATTTCTTTCCTCTTGAACTCCCTAAACAATACAGAATTTGGCTTAGAGAGTAATTCTAGAGAAATAGAATAGTAAGGATATATTTTCTTAATTGCTCTAGTAATACCTGGAATTGGCTTTTTAATTTGATAAAACCTAGCTTTACCATGGTCTCTTCTTTGATAGCGTGGAGAAGACTGACAGTACATAATGTGAGGTTTTTACAGCAATACACAACTTAGAAGTGAAAGGAATTTAGTGATATTGCAGATGATAAATGAAGCATTACTGAAAAACAGGACTATAATGATTTTGACTGTTTGCTCTTAGCATCTTTACACAAAGTAATAAAGAAGAAAATTTTTCTGAAAAATTGGATTTCCAAGCTTCAGACATGGGTAAATGACTTACAGCTTTCTACCTGTATCCTGAAAGAATATCTCTTCTGTAATATTAGAGCTGAATTTCTTAAAATGAAACACATATCCTCATCATGCCATTGCTGGATTACAGCACAAGTTAATGCCTCAACTTCAAAGAGTCTATTCTTAGAGTGGGGATGCTGACTAGAAAAGAATAGGATATGACAAATTGAGAAGATGTTTCAGAGGACTCTGATGAAACCTGGGACATTTAGCTCCAATATTCTCATGTGTTCCACAAAACACACTTTGTGTTGTTGATCCCTCCACCACTGAGTGAGAAAACTAATCCTATATTGTCTACGGAAACAGCAATGACCTTTCTAAATGCAGTTACCAAGAAAAACACTGATGATACTTCTCAGGAATTATCCTGAAAACCTAATTTAGCCTCTAGTCCTGTACCCTGCTCAAGTCTTAGAGTGCTCCTATGGTGTGGGTACACTAGATGACCCATGAGAAGGCATACAATGTGGGTGGAGTTTTCTACTTATTAATAGCAGAGGTTGAAGGAACAGGTATGAGGCAATGGTACAAGAATCATAAAACTGAATCAGGCTGAAGTTCTTGATATGGGACCATTAAGTCTATGCTGTATATTTATTATCATCCAAATTGGAACTGAACAAGTTGTAGTTTATTTGCCTTGTTGACCAAAATCTGGGTCAAAAAATAGTCCACTGTGAATAAGTTGGACATGTCTGTTATTATTTCAGGTATTGTTGATGAGGGTATTTGAAGGTCAGGGAGATATGAATGCTGGAGAGGATGTGCCTGGTAAAATCTTCCTTTATACTGTGAAGGTTCACAAGATGTCCCCTCCCCTCCACTTTAAGAAACTGTATTGTAAGGGGAGCACGAGTATCCTCAAAGGTCTCCACCATTGTTTCTGTGGGGCTGTAGTCTCAATGGGGAAAATTAAATGTGATGGGTATAAAATGGACTTTTGAGTGGGAGGTGCCAAGTTGCAGTACTCACTCACCAAAGGAATGGTGGAACTAGTGACTGTGATGGAAAGCAACAGCAAAGCAATTTTTGGGATCTTCTGATCCATATAGACCTGTAGCACTGTTTAATCA